ACTGTTTTTTATAAAAAGCATCATCTTTACATATAATAGACGACGGTTTTATAAAAGCGTCATCTTTACATATAATAGACAACCCTTTTTTATAAAAATCGTCGTTAATTATCTGTAAAGACCATGATTTATTATAAAAACCGTCGTCTAATAAGTTTCCAAATTGCTACATTTTAGTTCTTTTTTATTTCCTATGATGCTATACAACGATTTTAACTAGAAAACCAACCATAATGCTTTATTAATGAATATATACACTCAAAAATAGTTTCTTTCATAAAACTTGAAGATTCAATAGTTATTACAACACACATAATTCCTAACAAGACTTACGTACTCCTAATCCAAGCATTCCTCATCCAAACATACAAATGATGCACAACTGAAGTCTCCTCCATCATCCCTGTAAATAAATCAAAATGACAAAGAGAGAAAGAAAAAAAAAAGTTAAGATTATAAACATAAAAAATTAGGTGCAAGAGAAATTTTACCATTGGTCCATATTTCCATTAAAAACTTGTAAAATGAGCATAAAAAAGACCATCGAGAACCTGCAAATTTTCTAGATTTCACTAGAAAGATATAGAAGGGTATTAAGAGATTAGGTGACTTTCAAATCAAACCTTTCAACTAGCTTTGATTCTCAAATACAAAACATCCCTCTACATTTTATGGATCTGCAAAGACCTTAATCTCTTAACTCCTTCATAGATATCAATTTTTTGATAATTTTGTAGAGAGTTTCATGAGGGTGTTTTAGAGAGTGCAGGAGGGTTTCAAGGAGGGAGAGATAAGGTTTTCAGAGACGGGGGAAAATCTGAAAATTTGTCGAGCGCGAATTCAATTAAGTAGCCTTTTTTAGCGTGTTTTAAAAGACGACGCTTGTTAATGAGAGATAAGGTTTTCAAAGACGGATGAAAATTTAAAAAAATTTCAAGTGCGAATTCACTTAAGCGCCTATTTTTTAGGGTGTTTTAAAAGACGACGCTTTTTTAAAAAAAAAATTGTCATCTTTACACATAATAGACGACGGTTTTTATAAAAAGCGTCATCTTTTCATATAATAGACGATAGTTTTTTATAAACAGCGTCATCTTTACATCTAATAGACGACGATTGTTTTATAAAAAAACGTCACCTTTACATATAATAGACGACGGTTTTATAAAAAGAGTCATCTTTATATATAATAGACGACGGCTTGTATAAAAATCGTCATCTTTACATATAATAGACGACGGTGTTTATAAAAAGCGTCATCTTTACATAATAGACGACGTTTTTTTTTATAAAAAACGTCATCTTTATTTCATAATAGACGACCCTTTTTTAAACAAACCATCATCTTTACATATAATAGACGACACTAGTGGATACCACAAAATCTTATGTTATATTTAACGAAAGTATAAATAAACTCTTAATTGTTAGTGAATATATTGTTTTGATGGCATACGCATTTTAAGAAACTAGTTTCAACGATCCAACCGTCAAACTTGTTTGTTTATACTTCAAGATCATATACACCAAAAATGGGAAAAAAATAAACCTTCCGAGATTAAGTAACGGGACAAAAAATTTAGACGGTTATAAATAAAAAATCATGATTTAACGGTTATTTTAACTCCGATTTTGATGATTTTTTACCACTACACTCCTTGACCCTATATGAATACAATGACTGAATTTGATCTTCAATTTCAAATATTTACACTAGTGGATACCACAAAATCTTATGTTATATTTAACGAAAGTATAAATAAACTCTTAATTGTTAGTGAATATATTGTTTTGATGGCATACGCATTCTAAGAAACTAGTTTCAACGATCTAACCGTCAAACTTTTTTGTTTATACTTCGAGATCATATACACCAAAAATCAGAAAAAATAAACATTCAGAGATCAAGTAACGGGACAAAAAATTTCGACGGTTATAAATGAAAAATCATGATTAACGGTTATTTTAACAAACCATCATCTTTACATATAATAGAAGACCTTTTTTTATATATTATAAAAAACGGCATTTTTACATATAAAAGACGACTATTTTTTTATAAAAAGCGTCATTTTTATATATAATAGACGACCATTTTTTTTAAAAAAACCGTCATCTTTACATATAAAAGACGATGGTTTTTTTTTATAAAAAGTGTCATCTTTGCATATAATAGACGACGGTTTTTATATAAAAAGCGTCATTTATTATATATAATAGACGACGGTTTTTATAAAAAAAACATCATCTCTTATATATAATAGACAACGGTTTTTATAAAAAGCGTCATCTTTTCATATAATAGATAGCGGTTTTTTTATAAAAAAAACGTCATCTTTACATATAATAGACTACGGTTTTTTTTAATAAAAAGCGTCATCTTTACATATAATAGACGACGGTTTTTATAAAAAGTGTCATCTATTATATATAATAGACGACGGTTTTTTATAAAAAGCGTCATCTTTACATATAATAAACGACGATTTTTATAAAAACCGTTATCTTTACATATAATAGACGACAGTTTTATAAAAGCGTCATCTTTGCATATAATAGACGACGGTTTTTATAAAAAGTGTCATCTTTACAAATAATAGACGACGGTTTGTATAAAAAGCGTCATCTTTGCATATAATACACGACGGTTCTTTCAAAACAACCATGTCTTTACCAAAAAAAGGACACTTGATTTTTAAAAGACGACGCTTGTCATACCTACTGTCGTTGTTTTTTGGTCAGATTTTAACTCTGAAGAAAACCTTTTTAATAAGACGACGCTTTTTTATTTGTGTGCGTCGTTATAAAAAAATTTATATAGTACCTCCGTTTTTTTGTTGTTTAAGTCACTTGTCCACGACGGTTTTTTGTTGCCGTCATCTTTTTAAATACAACGACGGTTTTTTCTTCTACCGTCGTCTTTTTTTGGTCGTCTTTTTCACTTTTTGTAGTAGTGGATATTGGACGAGGGGAATTCAAACACATGATCTCGGGTGCAGGGGTAACTATTTTTAAATCATATGAGTTACAAACCCCTAACAAGGGACTTCTTCATATTGTTTCAAGGCCTAAAATGGTTATATTAGTT